ACTAAACTTGGCTTTAATACCAAGAGAGGTGCTTACACAGGGTAAAGCTAAGCACGTCTGTCAACGACTTACAAGGATGTGACCTAACTGCAATCACTGCTAACCGATCTGCCTCAACGTGACTTGAATGGCATCCCACTTAACCTAACACAGTTCTACCCCCAATTAGCATAAACCCAGGAATACTACTATTCATATTATTATTATTATATTAAATTTAAATTATGCCATATATGGTCTCATGAAATTACTGTAGAGGAGGAGGTGACTGGACAGCCGCTACCAACAAGCAGATCTACTCCTAGATCTGCTACTCAATTAACTGTATTTGATTATTAATACTCTGTAATTGTTGTGTCCTTACAATCTTTAAATGGCAACTATTAACAGTAAGCCAGAAATTACGACGCAAACTGTAATATGTTAATAAATCAGGTAATTCAACAAGTCTATCTATAGGCATACATTAAAATATTAAAAGATTAAAAAGAAATACTTACAACCTGAGTTGCAAACTTTATTAAATAGGAAAGATGCACAGAGAGATGGCGCACTTATGTTAAGACTTAAAACACTCTGGAAAAAAAACTTGTCCTCAACAAGAGTGAGGCTATCCCTTATATAGACACACAAAAAATAAGATAAGATAAGGGTGATGACAGGTGGCGTGTCCTAGATGGTGGAGTTGATCGTCCTTATCCTCAGCTGACGCAACACCTTATCTTTGTTGTTCTGTACTGGACAGTTGTCTGGACAGCTAGGTGGTAGGACTGGATGACAGACAAGGAATTTGCTTTTGCCGAAAGTTGTTATCCTGGTAATTTGTCATTTTGTGCCGATGTAGTGATAGTGGAGGACAAGGTCATGTAGCCTTTTTCCTTTCATGTCTTTTTCGTTTAATTTTTTCTGAAATGAGACTAGTCAAAGAGTCCCAAAAATCACCAAGATTAGGTTTGTTGTCGGTAGGGTCTTGAGATTCACCAGCAAGGATTGTGAACTCATTTTCATCCTGATCTGGGTCTTCTTCTGGATCAGGTTCTTGACTGCTGGAGACAGATTTCATACTGGTATCATAACTAGATAGGGCTGAAGGAACTGTTTCTTCATATAATCCATTAGGGGTGGGCAACGGTTTATTCGAACCTCTCAAACCGCCCAATCCGCCCAACCCGCATATAAATGGGCGGTTTCGCAAACATAATGCGGGCGGATGCGGTTTGAAATATAACAAATTTGCGGGTTGCCGCAAAAACCGCCCGCACTTTAATTATTATTATTATTATTATTATTATTATTATTATTATTATTATTATTACTTTTTATATACCAACTTTGTAACTTTTACAGGAGCACCATTATATTATCTATGACACTAGGATCTTTATTTTTAAGTATTTCTCAACTTTCTTAATACCGTAGAATTATCAAGTCCTAAACTTGGTTTCTTATATGATTTTCATTGGTGATTCATCCACTTTTTCCTAATAAAATTTTCCTTCTAATGGTCGATGGAACTTATAGTTTGATTATTGATTACTGAACTGGCAATTCTAATTGAGTACAGCCTTCAATGCATTGATATACATTTTTTAGTGGGTTAGGTTTAGTGGAGTAGGTGAGGTGGTAGTGGTGTAGTGGGTTAGGTTTAGTGGGTGAAGTAGGTGATAGGTTTTAACATAACTTTTATTTGTAAACTCATCAAAAAATTATTATCACAAATATATAAAATGAATTTGATGCCTAAATTCGCTGGGAAAAAAAAACTCGAAAATTAATTTTTAAAGAAAAAAAGTGTAAACCGCAAACCGCCCGCACATTTGCAATCCGCACAAACCGCAAACCGCAATGCGGGCGGTTGCGGGTTGACTTTTTTCCAAACCGCATAGATGCGCGCGGGTCAAAACCGAACCGCAAACCGCACAAAACCGATCCGCGAACACCCCTATAATCCATACTTTTAATAATTAATTCCTGTTCGAACAAATCGAGATACTTTTGTCATAATTCTGTTTGAATATGTAAAAATGGATTCTTCATTACTGGAGTTGTTGGGAGTAATTTAGGAACAGCATCCCAGCATGCCTTGGTATAAGCATGGATTTTCTGTAAAGTCTCCCGCTGTTGCTTAGGGGTATCAAGCCCCTTTATCCACCACTTCACAAAGAAAACTCTTTTGAGTTGTGGGATTTTATTCTGATAATCACATTGGAAATCCCACTTCCATATCCATGAAATTCTAAAGCGAATGACAAAATGGACAATAGATTTAGACATTGAAATGTCCTTGTATACTAGAAGGCGACTGTAGGCAATTTGCCATTTATTAAAAGCCTATCGAATAGGTTTTGGAAAAATTTCTAACTGGAGCCCGAACTTATCTCACCAAACGAGAAACCAGTTGGGCAGATTGTTTTTGAGGTCGTCGGGAACAATAAGGAGAAACCAGGAATGGCTCCGAGGGGGATTCTGGTAATAAAATGCATAAGTAAATGCATCAATAGAATCCCAATAACTGTAACGGGATTCCTTGTTACGGATATCCAAAAAAGCCTCCAAACCCTTTTCCCAAACCATGCCAAAGCCAACTTCACTTTCGAAACAAAAATGCATGCTTATGTGACTTTTTTAAGGAAATATATATATATATATATATATATGTATGATTACTAACAATTTTTAAATTTACACTAATTTTAACCTTCATCAATTTGTCAAAAAAAAAATTAAATGTAAAATTTTAAAAACACTCAAGTCAAAAAATCATTTAAAATTTATAGTGCTATGTTCTTGTTAAATAATATCTATGGGATTATTTGAGAATGCATTAAATAAGTATTTCTTATTTGAGTCATATGATTTTTTTATTATTTTTATATAACTTTTTATAAAAAATAAGGACGTACATTAAATAAACAAATTCCAAACAACCCCAAGTATTATTACAATCAAGGTTAAATGGGTTTCATGTTAACAATGGGTTAAGGGAAAATGGGTCTCATAGCTTTTTGTTGACTCCCATTATTTGGTTCTTAGTTCTTTGTTAAGAATTTGAAACAAAATGGATCCGGTATCCTAAAACATGGATGCACCCAATAAGATGCTAAGTAATTTCCTTTTGAAATAATTCCCTAAGATTTTAAATACTTATCCTTTTCTTTTCTCTAATTTCATCCTCTCATGGAAGAAGTTCTTTTTTTTTCTTTTTCTTTTTGTGTGTTTGTTTGTGGTTGAAGTTGTTTTTGTTTTGATTTTTTTGTTGTTTGTTTTTATTTTATATTCTCTGTATTAGTTGGGGGTAGGGGAGAGAATAGTCAACATGGATGGAACTCTTGTTTTGTTTTTGTTTGTAGTTAAAGGTCCTAGTTTCATCAAGTCTCTACCATATTTGATTATTATAAACCACTTTCAAAATTTAGCAATATGGTCTATCTAGCAAAAAAACTATTTGGTGTGTATGTGTTTTGTTGTTGTTGTTGTTGTTGTTATTGATGATAATGAAACAAATTATAATTTATTTTTTTTTTGGACAAGTAAGAGAGATAGAAGATGAAGATGAGAATCTATCCATTTTGGTGAATGAATAGATAAAAAATAAAAATTTAAACAGATATGTGTGTGTATGTACTAGATATATTTGAGTGACAGTAGTAGAAAATTTCAACAGATAGGGAAAAAGAACCAAAGAGAAGGGAGACTATGTGATTGTTTGGGGTGTCCTAAATAAGTACACTTTTTTTATCTTTTTGGACTAAAAAATTGAGGAAGAAAATATAGATGTTTGGGTTAACTTTTTGAATTTTTATGGGAAAATGTGTAATAAAAAATTGTAAAAATTGGTTTGTAGGAGAAAATTAGAATTGGGAGTTGTGCAGCCGTAATTGTTGACTTTTGGTGAATAGTGTTAATTTTTTAACTTTTTGAGTAACTTTTTGGCTTTTCCTGGACATGCCAAACTTAGCCGAACCAAAGAGAAGGGAGACTATGTGGTTGTTTGGGGTGTCCTAAATAAGTACACTTTTTTATCTTTTTTGACTAAAAAATTGAGGAAGAAAATATAGATGTTTGAGTTAACTTTTTGAATATTTATGGGAAAATGTGTAATAAAAAATTATAAAAATTGGTTTGTAGGAGAAAATTAGAATTGGGAGTTGTGCAGCCGTAATTGTTGACTTTTGGTGAATAGTGTTAATTTTTTAACTTTTTGAGTAACTTTTTGGCTTTTCCTGGACATGCCAAACTTAGCCATTATATATATATCACAATTTGAGCAGATAAAAAAATAAACGGACAAGAAAAAAATAGGCTTGTGAAATTCAACAGATAGGGTATACTAAGTTTGAATTTCAACAGATAGGAAAAAATAATTGAACAGATAATAAACTTAAAGCAAATTTTCAATTGATATAAAAAAATTTGAACAAATACATAGAATTTAGGGGAAAATATTGAACAGAAATATAGAAAATTGAACAAATAAATAGAGAACAGAAATATAGAAAATTGAACAAATAAATAGAATTTTAAGGAAAAAATTAAATAGATAGATAAAATTTAGAAGAAAAATTGAACAAAGAGGGGAAAAAAATGAATAGATAGTCAAAAAATTTAAACAGATAAATATAAATTTAAACCGATAGACAAAAAATTTGAACAGATAATCAACAAAAAATCAAACAGATAAAAAAAAGTCAAAAGGTAAAATTCGAAACAAAATATCTTTTACGACTTCCCACCACACTATTTCACAAAACGTGAATTTCTCATTAACAAAAAATATTTACTTAATCTAACGCCTTACATCTTCCTTAGATTGGATTTATCACCAATTTTTTAAAAAAATAATAAAATAATAAATTTAACATATCTAATAAAAAATTGATATTATCACCAATTATTTTTTTAAAATAATAAATTTAACATATAAAAAAAAAAAAATTCTATATCAAATTCACATATGTCAATTTGCCACCTATATAAAAACATTTCCCACGCCAAATTTGGAAGGTTTGGTGGAAATGCTCTTATACAAGTCATTTTGCATAGTATCATATTTCAGCACTGGAAGAACCCAAGAGCGAACTCGCATAAAACGAAAACCTCTGTGCGTAGGGTTTAGCTTCGATAATCTCTAGATATCGAAGAAAATTCCATTGAGGTCTCGGCGAATCTGCGATAAAACTACGTTCATTCTAGAATTTCGAATCTCTCAGTCATCATGGCTCGTGATCCAAACAATGCAGTGATAGTCCCGAAGAAGAAGAATGAGATGAAGGACGAAGATCTTGTAAGTTCAATGCAATGTTTGGTTACAGATAGGAAACAATGTTGTTTAGTTTTTCAAAATTTTAATCTCATTTGGATTTGTGAATGTGCAGTCGGAGGAGGATTTGGCTTTGAAGAAGCAATTGGAGTTGTATGTGGAGAGGATTCAGGACTCCGATGCGGATTTACAGGAGGCTGCCCTTCAGAGTATGAGGTAGAGTCACAGCATTTGTAAATTTGTGTTTTCCAAAAATAATGCGATGTTGCCTTATTTGTCATACTATATGCTACTAACTGTATGGTATCAGAGCATCTCCATCGAAATAGTCAAATTTTTAGTTAAATTTTAACCGAAAGTCTATTTTTCTATTTTAATATTGTCTAATACATTCTCCAACAAACTCTCTATTCTTTATTTCATTTGTGTAGTCCTCTTTCTCTAGCTATATGTAGCTGGTGGTTTGATATTAAACTAAACTAGCTAGTCAATAATTGAGTTTGATGGAGTGTCTTTCCATGGTTGTGTGCTATAAAATAGCCAAGAGAGGACTCTAATGAGCTTGATAATGATGCTCATGCTAGAAACACTATTTGGTTCAATTTTGTAGTTCAGAGAAATTGACAAATTGAAAAACTTAGTGAGGGAACTTTGGTATTAATTTGTTGGGTAAATTACAAATAACCCCTGAGGTTCACTTAAAATTTGATTTATAGTTTTCAAAAACAAATTTCTAAGTTTTCAATTCGTATTTTTATATTTTTAAGTTTTTTAAAAATATTTTAATGAATTTTTTAAAAATTTCAATCTTAATATATTTAAAAAATAAAAAAATTGTACCAAAATCTTTAAAAAAATTTACTAAATATAACAAAATACAAAAAATGTATTGAATTTTCATAATTTTTTTTTATTTTTTTTATCTTTTTGTATTTGGTGAATTTTTTAAAATTAAGTTTCACAAATATTATACTTTTTAAACATATTTCAGCGTTTTTCGATTAGATGAATCCAAAAATAAAAAATTTGCATAAAACATTTAAAAAATTCACTAAAACTCAAAAAACACAAAAAACCAAAAATTCAATCTTCTGAAAAGTAGACTCAATTTGTTGGAACCAAACATAGTTAATTGTTCTTGTGATTCTAGAAATTACATTCTGCCCTTAAAATTTCTGATCACATAATAAATAACTCATTTCACTAATTAACCGTTAAGTCAATTAACAATTTTTAATAATATCAGCAATATATATTTCAATTAACAATTTTGGTACTTTCATTGTTGTATTATAAGGATAATTACGAATTTCATTTTTTGAGTCAACTTTGTTAATTGGCAAATTCTAACAAAGGATATTTGTAATTTCTAGAACCACAAGGGACAATTTGTATTTTAAGCAAACCTTAGGAGGGGAATTTGAAATTTACCTTAATTTGTTCTGCAAAACTGAATACCTTTTGCTGTAAGAATAGTTATGATCTGTGGTACTGAGTATTGGAACTTATTATATCTTCTCACTCAACAAATTGAGCCATTGGAATTCAGGACTACCATTTGTGAGGTTTCCCTGATTCAATTTGTGGGGTAGCAAAGCTAGCTTTTATTAGATAACAATTTGTGAGGTTTCCCTTAATTGTTAAGTATTTTTCCATTTTGTCTGCCTATATCTTAGGTTCGTTATGGTTTTGTTCAGCAAATCACAATATTGGAATCACTAAAGATCACCACGGAATAGTTAAAAGTATTTGTTGTAATGAGATAGAATTTATTGTTTATTTGCTTTCAGCTTACGCAGTGCACTTTGTGAGTAACATCAGTTATAATCAGGAACTCACTGAAAAATGAGATCAATGCTAATTGAATTTTAGGATATTTACAAATGATCAAATAGGGTTAGCATATAAAATGCATGTAGAATCATGAGTGGGCCATAATCTTTAATTCAATGGTAGCACAACCAGGCCTTAGGTGAGATCTCAAATTAAGGTCTTTTGATAATGAAATATTAATTTAAATGACTATTTCTTAATTTTCAAATTGTAAATTTTTTCATGTAAGTTTCACTTTTCTAACTTTTTGAGAAGCAAAATTTATTAATTTAATTTTTGTAATAATTATTTTCTAACATTTTTCAATCGATATAATATCACTAAAAAACTACACTTAGTTTAGTTCCTAATTGATGATATCAATAATCCATTTAATATTTTTTGTGACACAATCAGGATCTTAAATAGGATTTTAACAATTTCAGTTTTGAATTTTTTCTGTGTAAAAGAAACTGTTACAGGTATTGTCAATAGCATTCTATAGGCAATGCATGTATTTATAAAAGAATATAATCTTTTAATGTAATTCAGTAACATTCTATTTAGCTTGTTTAGGGGTTTTCAATTTTGTTTTGTTTTCTCTTTGTCCTTTTGTAAGAGGATGCCTCATCCTAATTTCCTTTTCTTATTTATCAATAAAGTTTTCGTTGTTGATCCAAAAAAAAAAAAAAGGTAACATTCTATATGTCAATTTCAGTTTTTTTTTTAATATATATATATATATTATTTTCCCCGACATTTGTCATTTGCACTGGAACTGTGTCTAGATGATTGTTGCATTGCTCAGTAAATCGATTGGAGTGGTACACCTACTGGCAAATAACTTATGCCAAAATTGTCTGCATGTTTAAGTCTAATATTTAGCTGTTTTTTAACTTTCAGCATGCCTGATAGATGTTTTGCTTCATGACAGTCTGCAGCTAACTAATGTGTGAATGGAGTTTTTCGCATGGCTGTGTTTTCCGGAAAATGAATATAGAAAGCAAAAAAAAGTCCAAACAGACCCGTAATCATTCATACAAATACAATTTGGTTTGATAGTGCAACTAAACCTTTGCCTTTCAGGCAGGAGATACTGGCCTCAACCAGCTCTATGACTTCAGTTCCAAAGCCATTAAAGTTTTTGCGTCCACATTATGCAACTCTAAAAGCATACTACGATAGAATGGCAGATTCGGATCTGAAGGTATCAAACTGTTGGGATGGCCCCTTCCGTTATTCATTTTTGTGTACTGTGACCTGTCTGATTCACATTTTCCTTTTAACACAGTATTTACTAGCAGATGTACTTTCAGTTTTGGCCATGACCATGTCTGCAGAAGGAGAACGGGTATGCTGAATTATTTTATGTTTTACATTTCATTATGCATTCTTAATATCACTCTGTTTTGACATTAGCTTGCTTGGTTCTGTGAAGCAACTTTTTGGCCATGCCATTATCCTCTATTCTCCCATATGCGGTAATGAATATATGGTTTTGACATTTTATATTTATGATACTTGGACAACTTGCGTATTATGGTAATAACAAATTTACTTGATATAGAATGTTGGATGTTTGCGCTGAAGTGTGTCTAAATATTGTTGAGTTCTAGGTTTTGTGTTGTGCTGAAGTATATATGATATTTCCATTATTATGTCAATTCTTTTAGGAGAGCTTAAAGTACAGGTTGTTGGGCTCTGAAGGTGATATAGTTTCATGGGGCCATGAATATGTGAGGTGAGCATCATCAAACTAAATATTAAAAGGGTATCAGTTAATATTCGTTGCTTGTTTTGTTGATTTGTTAGATATTTTATTTTGTCTCAAATTTTATGGTGGCCTACTTTGTGGTGTGGAGTATAATGAAACTAATTTTTTTGTTTTAGGGCATGATGTTGATTGGCTTGGTACTTACATTAATGTGGTCTAGGACACATTAAATATAATTTATTTATTTTTCACTAATTAATTTTAATTTATGTTCTAATTTGTAAGGCCCTCTAAAAACCACAACTTCCTTTCACCCCAGATGGGTGTTGGCATATCAAACTATTTAATTTTGTTTATTTATTTAAAAGGCTTTTATCTTCGTGGCCTTACACATTGTGACTTGTCTTGAACAAAAGTATATTGACTTCTAATCTTGGGGGTGACCTAGTTTGGATTATTTGTTTTGTAGTGTTAGTCGCGTTCAAGAAGCAACATTTTTTGTCTTCTTAAATTTTTTTCCCTATATTATTCTGATTATTATATATGGTTGTGATAAACAGGATGTTATATTCATTTTTTGTGTAATATCAGTAATGTTGCGGCACATGTGCATTGTATTATTTTAATGTCATGGTCATATTACAAGAATTATTATTATTATTACTATTATTATTTATTTATTTTAATTTATGAATCCTACCACCTTCTTATTTTACTTTGTTGTTGTTGAATTTTCATTTCTATTAACCCTCATCAGTGCGTAACTTGTTTGTGATAGGAACTTAGCTGGAGAAATAGTAGAAGAGTATATGAAGCGACAGGTTATGATTCCTATCTTTTGAATTGTTATAAGAGTTCTACTTATTAAAAAAAATATTATAAGAGGTTTTCTCGTTGGCTTACTTACTACTAAGTACATATATATCTTTTATTTGCTTTTACAGTGTAATCATGCAAGGTCTTGTATGTTTAAATATAGTATCATGTTTTCTGTTATACTGTTAATATTCATGCTTTTGACATTTATGGGGGGCACTGTCTTGATAATATCAAATAATAACTCATTCAGTTACACAGGTATGAAATTTGGCCTTTTTTTCCTTTTTACGGTGGCACATGTATTACATTAATGGGGTAATTATGTTGTCTCCTTTTGTTTTATTAAGTGTATTTCCTCATTTGCATAAATCATTTCAGAGTGAAGACTTGTCTGTTGATGATCTAATGGAGCTTGTAGAACAAATTGTTGCTTTTCTCATGGAGGTAATGACTCATTTAACAATTTTTGAGTGGTTGTCCTCTTTGTTACTAGGAGACAGGGTTGACATCTATGATGCATTGACACTCCAAAAATGTTGTTGTATAAGTACAAGGTGCATACTTGGTATGGGTATGCATACTGGTATGGTTGCACACATACTGGGTACCTGAAATACTTAATCTAATACTTTTTGAATGTTGGGTATAGATAGGGTAAAGGATGGGTATGGCTCAAATGTGGGATGAATACAACTTGGGCCAGGTTTGGGAACCACCTCAAATAGCCAAAAAGTGAAAAAAGTCACTACCAAAAAGTTAACTATTTTCTCTATTTTTTTTGTACGTCTTTTTGTAAAAAGTTAAAAAACCAACTAAAATAGGTAGTTCCCAAAACAACCCTCAGTTATGAGATAGATACATTTTGGGAATTTTTGTGGATATGTTGAGATATAAATGTAACCAAACCAAACCAAACCTTAAGTCCCATCAAATGGGGTCGGCTACATGAACAATTATATTGTTTTTTGTATTTTTAAAATTAAAAATAGTGTATTTTTGCAATTATCAAATATTTGGAAAAAACTTGCTTTCTTTTTTGGCTTTCTCTTCTCTCCGACTCTCCCTCTCTCCATCTTCTTCCCTGTTTTTTTTCAACAACCCTCTCTCTTGGAGTACCCATCTTCATCTCAGTTTTTTCTTCTATCTTTGTCTGTTGTTTTATATTTTCTAATTGTGACTTTAATTATTTTTTGTATTTAATTTTCTAATATCATGCACTATTACAAATTATAAAATTGTACTTTTTTATGGTTGTACCCTAGCAATACCCGTATCCTATTTTTTAAAGTTTTTTTTTTTTTTTTTTACCCATAACATACCAGTACGTGCTTCCCAGGTTGACATGTTATGTGAATTTGTACCAGTACATGGTTCCTAGGTTGACATATCATGTGAATTTGTTTCAATGTATTAAGTCAAAATAGAGCCCTTCTTTCTTTTCTTTTTTTTTGTGAACAGCAAGTCAAAATATAGCTTGGGACAACATTTCATGCGGATTTATTTCTAGTTTTTGTTGTATCTGCCTTACAGCACAATGCCGAATTTGAGGCTGTAGATCTTCTGATGCAGGTATTATACGTTGTCATTTTTCTCACTTTTCTTAAAAATATTGCATGTAAAAGATATCTTGAATTATTCCAGGTTGAAGACCTTTATTTGGTACTGGAGCACGTGGACAGTACGAACTATAAAAGGACATGCCTGTACCTCCTCAGTGCAGATAGGTTAGTGAATCCTGAGAATCTTAAGTTAACTTTTGAGTTTGTAGGACTGAACGTTTATTTGTCTTTTGTATGCCTTTTGTTTTGGTATCTAAATTATGTATTGAGTTGCTATAAGAATTTTTTTTTTTTAGATTAGAATTCGAAATTTGAATCCTATTAAAATCGTAGACCATTGTGATGCACAAAATAAATTTAAGAGTTATTTACACGAATACCCCTCAAACGATTAAAAAGTATTACTTTGACCCCCTGAATTATAAAAGCGTACAAATAGACCCTCTAAACTATTGAGAAGTATCATTTTGCCCCCTAAACTATAAAAGCGTACAAATGCACCCCTTAAACTATTGGTGTATTTGATTTTGATCCCTTCCGTTAGGGAGTCCAATTTATACGCTTTTATAGTTTAGGGGTCCATATGTACGCTTTTATAGTTTAGGGGGTAAAGTGATACTTCTCCATAGTTTAAGGCGTCCATTTGTACGTTTTTATAGTTTAAGGGGTCAAAGTGATATTTCTCTCAATAGTTTGGGGGTCTTCGTGTAAATAACCCTAAATTTAATTGGTAGTCTATTTCCTGATAACTGTGTGGTTTGAGCAATGAGCAGTTGATTAACATTTTGTTTTAACTGATTCTCAAAGTTTTGCGTTGTAGTTTGCTACAAGTTCAAGAAGGTTTAGATTATCTAAATAACTTAAATTTCTAATTCTAAATTAATTTTATGATTTAATAAATGATTTTACTGCAAACGTAGGCGATGAATTTAAGTGAGTTTGAGTATCTTATAATCATACATGCTCATGTACCTATATTACAGTGACAGATAAAGCAACATACTTGTATTTTTTCTTTTGGAGCAACAATTTAAGCATTGTCTTAGGAGTTTTTGAGTTGTTTGGGAAAAGATTGAAAGCTGGGGGAGGGGGTGGGATGGAAAACTTATGTTTGGGTCCCATATTCGGAAAAGTTAATGTATCACTTGGGGAGTGACAGGTTGATGTAGTTGCGTCTCTATTGATGGCTAATAAGAGGGAGCCCTGCCAAGCACATAAGTATATTGACTTTGTCTACTCTCTCTCTCTCTGTGCAGATTATTTTAAAAGGTGCTTCATATATGTGTGTGTATTTGATGCAGACTACTCTTACATGTAACATGACATTTTTTATTTTTCTACATGATGAAATTTAGAGGACAGAAATGTAGCCTTCAGTTTTCTGTTCTTTGATTGGAAGATGACATTCAAATAACAGAAATTCTTTAGGGGGCCAAATTGCTATTCATTTTTGTGCCTCGTGGTATTGTGGTTTTGCTAAGCACGGTAGCCTTGCAGCTTTCTCTTTGCAAGACAAAAGAACATGTATTCTGGCATTTAGTATTTCAACATCTTGCAGATACATTCCTGATACAGATGGTGTGCCAGTTCTAGATGTTGTGTTTGCAATTTATCTAAAATTTGAAGAGTACCCAAGTGCACTTCAGATTGCTCTATTCCTTGACAACTTGCAGGTTTGCACTTAATTAGGCACATCAAATATTTTATTCTCCCTCTTTGCCTGTGTAAAATAAATAATGACACTGGATACAAATATATTTGAGATTTTAAGTTTTGTTGATAATGACTGGAAAACTATTATATCTTCACATTTCAGGAAAATGAGATAGAATGGTCAGATGGTCTTCTCACTGCCCACTTTTCTGATGTTTATCTAACACTATTTATTTATTGGCAGTATGTGTATCAGATTTTTACGACTTGTGATGATCTGCTATTAAAGAAGCAATTTTGTTACATTCTTGGTCAACATGTAAGTCTTGTTTTTCTATTATAATAGTGGTGGGTTCAAGATTTGTAGAACTCATATATTTCCTTAATGAATCATGTATCCATTTTGATTTCTTCTTGGCTTTAACTCTCAAGATTGCCTCTCCCATGAAAATACTATAAGCTACTAGTTTATTAATGGAAATGGTATCTTTCCCTGTTCTTAAATTTCAGCTTGATTGTTATAGTGTGAGGTGTTGTATAGACTCTAGTCATGTAATTTTTAATGTGCTTCATGACCTCTCTGTTAGACATGATATCTCAATTTGGTGTCTTGTCCCTAGCTTTAAAATAATCTGGCATGCCATGTTTTTTATTCTTTTTGGGTGGGATGTTGATGGTAAAGTTATTGTATAGATAGGGTGTGTAATACATGTCTATAAATATTAAAAAAAAAAAAGAAAAAAAAAATGATAGGTTGTATGATACACACAAAATCTGTAAAGTTGGGTGCTTGGTTAGGAGCTAACATCTCACCTAAATCATAGTTAAAGTCATTACGGCAAGTAGAAAGGCAAATGTAAAGATAACAAATGTCTTATTAGAAGTTGGGCTTGCACTATTTACCCCTTTTGCATGACATCTAGTTAATTTCCTTTTTGATTGAATGCAAATGGTTGTTTGCTCATTGAATTTCTTTCATACAGCGTATAACTTTTGTTCTCGATGAAGAGATGTCTGGAGACGATGAATGCAGGGAGACATTGCAAGGAATTATCAACAACGGCAAGTTAAGTGAAGGTTATCTTATGCTTGCTCGTGATATAGAGGTCATGGAGCCCAAATCTCCCGACGATATTTATAAGGTTGAGATTTCTAAGATGTCCATACTAACTCTTGATATCACCTTTGATATTGATAGTTGAAGTAATTGTTGCATCTTTTAAAGGAATTTCTAAGCACATGTTATTCCTAAGTTGTTTTCTTCATTAAGCCTGGTATTATTTAACCAGGCACATTTGCTCCATGGCCGGGCTAGTGCTGGTGCAAGTGTTAATTCAGTCGGCAAGAACTTGGCAGATACATTTGTTAATGCATTCGTGAATGCTGGCTTTGGTCAGGTAAAAGTGTGGTTCATTTACATAGGAAATTTTAGAGGCAAATATTTTGGGGCAGGTTCATGTATCGTTTACTGGTTTTATTGTCACAGGACAAGTTAATGACAGTTCCATCTGAAGCTTCAAGTGGTGGTTCTTCAGGAAACTGGGTCTTTAAGAATAAAGAACATGTAAAAGCCAGTGCTGCAGCAAGTCTGGTATTGTGTTCTCTACTACCAGTCGATTTGTTGTTGCAAATTCTTTTATTGAAGGATTATCATTTTCACACATTGTAGGGTATGATTCTGCTTTGGGATGTTGATTCTGGACTTGCCCAAATTGATAAGTATTTCCACAGTGATGACAAAAATGTCATTGCTGGTGCATTGTTAGGAGTTGGTATCTTGACTTGCGGTGTCGAGCATGAATGTGATCCCGTGAGTTCTACGTCACGTTTTTTGCAAAAAAGACCTAAGATTGTTATATGTAATTTGAAATCTCAGTTTTCTTTATTCAGGCATTGCGACTTCTTGCTGATTATGTAGATAAAGAAGATTCTTCTATCAAAATTGGTGCAATAATGGGTCTGGGCCTTGCTTATGCTGGTGCCCAATGTCCGCAAGTGAGGTTTCTTGCTTATTTTTTTTCTTTTTTTCTTTCTTTTTTAAAATTTTTTTTTTTTTCGTTCATTCTTTTTGGCGCTATTTGGAAGCCCATGAAAATAATACTGTGTGTGGTAGACATGAGCCACCTTTTTTCACCATTTATGATTCGCGAGGCACATCAACATAATTATTCTATTTATTTTTTCCATAAAATGATGATCTAAGGTTATGGAAGTTTGAAACTATGTATACATATATAACTGTCTCTGTGTGTGTGTGTGAGAGAGAGAGAGAGAGAGAGAGAGAGAGAAATTTGATGAGCGTCTATTCATTTCCTTTTCTTTGTATGTTAAATTTGGTTAAAGTTGTTTAATCTACTGTTTCTCAGATCCATAGTAAATGATCTCCTATCCTTGGAATACAAAAACACCTCTTTACTTGTTTGTCCACTTTCTTTGTATGATATATTTATTTTCAATTGAAGCTGACTAATTATACATTATTTGTCAGATCCGTAGTAAATTGTCTCGTGTCCTTGAAGATAAGAAAATGCCTCTGGATGTGATTGTATTTACTGCAATTTCATTGGGTTTGGTGTATGTCGGTTCCTGTGATGAAGATGTTTCTCGGACAATTATATCTGCATTAAGACACCGAAGTGTGTCTGAATTAGGGCAGCCCCTCACTCGTCTTTTGCCTCTTGGACTCGGCCTTCTATATCTTGGGAAGCTGGTAACTTAAAATCACAAGCTATGAAAGTTTTTAATTAATTTTCTATAATTTTATTTGTAGTGTATCATAGTTTGTTCATTTTTAAATCAATGGAGTGCAAGTCAGAAACACGCACACACAACTGTCACTTGCACTCCATTGATTTGCAATTAGTTTCCCCATTTCCCATTTATATGATATTTTCCCTTTTTATTTTGGTGTTGTCTCTGAAATGTTTTCATTCAGTGACAACAGATTGCACCTTATAGACTTGGGACTTAGTTGTTATTTCTATCGTTCTTTTTTCTCTCTCTCCCCTTTTTTTTTTTTTTTTTTTTTTGAAATCCCATCCTGTTTTTTTTTTTTTTTTTTTTTGTTTTGAAATCCCATCCTGTTTTTTAACAGGAAATGGTGGAGGCAACTTTACAGATTTCAAAGACATTAAATATGAAAATTAGGAAACATTGTTACATGACCGTATTTTCCTGTGCTCATTAAATATGAAAATTAGGAAACATTGTTACATGACCGTATTTTCCTGTGCTTATGCTGGGACTGGGGATGTGCTCAAGGTGTTTACTCTAAGCCTTTCGATTCGAATTGGAGTTCGCTCTGTTATGTTGATGAAATTAGCTGACCGTCCTTTTTTCACACAGGTCCAATACCTACTGGGTCAGTGTGCCCAACATCTTAAGAGGGGAGAAACCCACCAGGGACCGGCTGTACTTGGAATTGCTATGGTAGCAATGGCTGAAGAATTGGGTCTTGAAATGGCTATTCGCTCTTTAGAGCATCTTTTACAGTATGGAGAGCAGAATATCCGAAAGGCAGTTCCTTTGGCTCTTGGTCTCCTCTGTATATCAGACCCTAAGGTAATCAACCCTTAGATATGTTTACGATAACAAAAAATTCCTTAGATATCTTTTGCCAAGCTGAGCACCTTGACAATGTTTGAATTGCAGTTGAGCAAGATTATATACTTACTTTCCATGGGTAATATTGCCAAGTAATTTATGATTGGATGTTCTAACCCAGGTAAACGTTATGGACACATTAAGCAGACTTAGTCACGATACAGATATAGAAGTAGCAATGGTATTTTCACTTTTATATAATATGATGATTATTCTTATTGTTATCAAATTCTAGTTAGTTACAGCCTAAAGTTCATCATGTTTGTCTGGATTTTACAGGCTGCCGTCATCTCCTTAGGTTTGATTGGTTCCGGGACCAATAATGCTAGAATAGCTGGCATGCTTCTCAATCTTTCGAGTTATTACTACAAAGAACCTAGGCTTCTCTTCTGTGTAAGCTTCTCTTGGAGTTACTTACATATAGTGCATCTCAGCTTTCCTTCCCTTTTTAGAGTGTTCTATTAGAGATTTAATGATATGTGTTGTCTAATTGTGCAGGTACGAATTGCTCAAGGTCTTGTGCATTTGGGGAAAGGCTTGTTGACTCTTGCTCCATATCATTCTGAGCGCTTCTTGCTATCCCCGTAAGTGTTTCTTCTTGTGAGAGATGACGGGTGAGCTGGTTGAGGATGTCCCTCTGGGAAGATGACAGGCATGGGTATGGCTCAACTAGAGGTGTGAGAGGAGAGGCAAGGACAACCTTATGAGGGAGAGGGTGGCAGTGGAGAGCTGGAGTACCAAAGAGCAATGTAGGGGACATATGGCCTGCTTGGAGGTCCCCTTTGTATAGGGTGGCATGCCAGCTCATCTGAGAACACGTTGCATGACCCCCTTGGCTAGGCAAAATGGAGGGATTCAAGTTCAAACTTAGCAACCTCTGATGCCGGCCTCGAGGCATGTATCATATGTGGACAAAGGGTAGGTATGATGCATCCATTTCTGGGTGTATTAGGGCAGCTCAAAGGTAGGTATGATGCAGCCATTGAGGTGTCAGGCGTTGGTCAAAGCCCCTCTCTTTGACTGGATGATCTTTGAGTTCTAGCCTCTAATCCTCAAGTCATCCAATGGTCCTGAGCGTGGCACCTGGGTCATGCTCCCAACCTATGTAGCTAGAGTCAATGTTTTGAAAACCGCACCAGATTGAACTGTTGACCGGTCCATTTTTTGGTCCAGTCAACCCGCCAAACATATTTACTAAGAAACCCTCCATTAAACCGCCCAACTGCTTGAATCAGTGCCAGTTCCTTAGAAACAGATGACCCGCAAGGCATGCTTTAAGGCTGAACAAAATGTAATGGGAAGGAGTTTCGAACTTGTGACCACCTTCTTGGACTAAATGCTGCCAAACATTTGACTACCACTATTAATTTTTGCAAAGGTTTATATATAATAGATTTATTCACATATTTCAAGAAATTAGTGCCAAAAAATAGACTTTTGCATAATTACATTTATATATATACCAAAAATTATATATATTTATATACAATAATATATTAATACATACGTTAAGAACTTAAGCTTTATGTAATTTTTTGGTTATTTTAATACCTTTATTTTTATAAAATTTTTAATATATTTATAAGGTAATTAGGGCGGTGTAAAACATTGTCCAATTCACTAAAATCGCACCAATCCACACTAATATATCCACTATGGATTAAACTTTGAAATTTATAATCCACTTTCAAAACTAGTATTCTCCACTATAGTTAATACATATATATTTGTTAATCTCTAATGAAGTATCAAAATAAAAAAGAGTATGAGAGAAATTTAAGATGTGAAATTTGTTATAAATTAGTAAATATATATATGAAAAATATTATGTAAAATTAGTTTGTGTTATATATATGACAAATATTATGTAAATTAGTGTTATATATTATGCAAATGCTTGATAATTGTTTAAGAATATTATTCAATCAACTAGCAAATTGAAACGTCATAAACTGCTGAAACTACAGTTTGGTTATTTGCCAATCTGCCATTCACGATTTGGTTTATAATTTTACTCTCAAACCACCAGAACTGTACCACGCACACCCCTAGAAGTAATTATGACATTACGATTTGATTCTGGTTGACCCAATAGTTGAACTAGTGACCCTTGACCCGGTGATTTTTTCGAAACGGTCTGGGTTTGAGAACATTAGTTGAGGCATTTGTCTTCCAAAACGGAGACCTCACTCAGGTGGGGTGATTGGTCCTCGTGTCCATTGGCTGGAGATGACACATGGTGTGCAAGGCTAGCGAGGTACCCATGGGGACTGGACCCATATAACTACACTTTTATTAAGAGTACTACAGGGCCCATAAGAACTTTTTAATCTTAGGTATAGAACTGGTTTGCAAACAAATCAGCAGGAGATGACCAGTTATTGGGGTGTTTGTTAAAAGGTTCTTCCAAAAGGGGTAGCTTTCACTTCAGGAGTGAGTGACCCGTTATTTATTTATTTGGGATGTGTTTGTATCAAATGAAAACGTTTTTTGTGAAGCTTTAATTACACTTACCTACTACACACTCACCCTCTTCTATATATAGGATTCATGAATCATTGTAATAGATATCAATAAACATCAATCAATAATACATAAACATCAATCAATAATACATAAATTTTTACACATAGTTTATTCACTTTTAAGTTATATTAATGGAATTCTAGAAATGGATCAATATCATTCATAAGGAATTTCCAATGACTGGCAAGGTCTTGGGTCTTGGAAGTGTACTCTCTCCAAAGTCTAAGGATTGAAACCTCTTAGGTGCTAACAATTTCTTGGGGCTATTGGACTAGGGGAAAACTCTTGAATTAACCGTAGTGCACTTGCAGAAAACTCTTTGTTGAGGGAATGTGCACCTCTGAGGATTAGTCGAGTTTTGATCTGGACACCCCTGTGCCAATCAATAAATAAATAAAATAATAATAATAAAATTGTACACTTACGTTTGTGATACGTAAAAGAAATGCGGTTATTGGTCTAGAAATCTATGTTGTTATAATGGAGCCAAAGGAAGCGTTGTTTATATAAGAGAAGGATTCAATTAGCTGATCCAAACAAGTTGGATTCAAGGATTTGTTTGATTAAGAATGGGTGCCAGATTGCTTTGCTGATTCACTTCTTTGACGGAGTAGACCATTCAGCGCAAGGGAATTTAAGTTCTCCACTGCCTACAGAGTTCGCTTAATGGTGCGAAAAGATTCCAGGGCACGGCCCTATTGATAAATATAGTTACTTTGTCCGAAGTTATTCAGTGGTTGTCATGCGGAATAAAACATTTTCACTTTCAAGTAAAAGTCTGGGATAATTTTTTTTACTTACAAATAAAAATGTGGGATAAAACATTTTTTGGGGAGAGAATGTAAAGTTTTCAGGTAATTGCCTAGACCTCTGCCATATAAGAATAAATAAATTAAGAGTCCAACTGGTCGTTCAGTATTTGATGCATGTATTGGCCTTCTTAATTTATTATACCTGTCAATTTTTTTTAATCAGCTCAATTTTTGCATGTATTTCTTCTTTTCCTCCAGGACGGCAATGGCTGGAATATTAACCATGCTTCACGCATGTCTTGATATGAAATTCACCATAATGGGGAGATATCCTGTTATTCTTTATTTCCTTGCTTTGGCAATGCAGGTTAGGTCTCAGTTTGTAAGACTTATTTCCCTCTCTCTCTTGATGGTTGGGCAGTTTACATGATTTCATTTTATATTTTCTACAATGCAACAGCCAAGGATGCTGATGACAGTGGACGAAAACCTGAAACCGCTGGCAGTACCTGTTCGGGTGGGCAAAGCTGTTGATGTTGTGGGGCAGGCAGGTCGACCGAAGACTATCACTGGTTTCCAGACCCACTTAACACCAGTTCTTCTGGCTGCCGGCGATAGAGCAGAGCTTGCTACTGAGAAGTACTACAATCATTCCCCTGAACTTGAAAAGTGTACTATTTTAACTCTTTACCTGTTGATTTGCATACTAATATAATTAAATGTCTGTGCAGGTATATTCCTCTCTCTCCCTTTCTTGAAGGCTTTGTCATTTTAAAAGAAAATCCAGAGTACTGTGAAGATCATTAGCTGTGTATTAATTAGGATACAAGTGGAGCTGTTTCGATTAAAAAATTCAACCGAGTTCAGATGTATAGACATGGGGTTTTGTTAGGTCCAATCTTATTTTGGGACGATTGGATTTGGACTAGGCTCAAGTCCAACACTAATGGAATTTCAGCCAATGATGGCCTGTTGGTTGGGCTTATACATGCTATGTACCCAGAATTTTATGCATGAAATCATGTAAATAGGTTTATATTTTTCATATACTTTTAAATTTTGAAGGTAATCAAAATTTTGTTATGGTCACTCGTGAGATTCAACCAGTTCAATGGGAAGCAATTACATTCTTTGTTGGTTTTGATTGGGTTTAATTACTTTACGTTGTGTTTAGTTGAAGGATTTGAAAAGAGATTAAAACGGGATTGAAGGATTTGAAAAAGGATTGAAAATGAAAAGGAAAAGCAAAAAAATGTGTGAAATTAAGTGAAATGTAAATATATTTTATCTATTTTTTTTTTTCCTTTCTAAATCTTTTTTTAAATTCTCTAATCAAATACAACATTAGGGATTTGGGATTGAGAGATATAAGCTAATAGGACCTGTCTGAGCATGATTTTTTGGCTCTATACATATTTTTTTGCCTTGGCATATAATTTGGGATGAGGGGTCACTGCTGTGCGTGAAGCACAGCAGTGACTGTGGTGCCTCCATTTGAGGTGTATTATGGCCTTATTTTTAGGATCCAAACTCATCATTTTAGTTACAGTCGTGAATAGGGGTTAGCATTGCTCAAAATTCCAACCGCCCTATCCCACATGTCGACTCCGAATAGGGAAAACAGCAGGATCTGGAATTTGACATAGGGACACTTTTTAATTGAATTCTTAAATTTTTAGAAAAATTATAAATTAGCATGAAAGATAAAAAATAATTATAAAAATATGGGGTGTAACCTTTTCTGTTAAAAAAAAAAAACAACAACAACAAGAGTTGTACCCCCACATGTAGAAAATAATTTTCTTACTTCCAGCCTTATAATTTTTTCTACATTTTCCGCCCTCATAATCAGCAACAGCTCAGATGTTACTAAACTTAATATTTATTACAAATAAATATTAATATATTTTACTTTTGATTAATATATGTTCTAAAATTTTGTTTATTACAAAATTAGATTAAAAGAAAAGGCAAATTTTATTTTACCTTTTTGTGGTTTAAGACCAGGGCACTTTACCCCCTTATGGTTCAATTGTGGCCAAAAAATCTCTATATGGTTTTGTACTAAAGTGTAACATTAATACCGTTAACTATAGACATAAAATGACTGTAATACTCTCAAACTTTTATTTTTCTGTTATTTTCTTTCTTTCTCCTCTCTCATACACATAATTTATAATGTCTAACATTAATTCAATTAAATCACAATTAATTCTAAATTCTAAATTCTAAATTATTTATTGTAATTCTTAACTTTTTATTCTAATTTTAATTTAATTATATTTTAGATCACAATTAATTCTAAAATTCTTAATTATTTATTATAATTCCTAACTTTTTGTTCTAATAAATTTAATTATACTTGAGTTCAACTTTTATATTTTTATTTAATTATATTTTAAATAAATTCTTAATTATATTTTATGTTTTACATCAATTCTTAATTACATTTTAATTTTAATTTTTTATTTTAATTAACATATTAATCTAATTTTAGGTTTAGAGAAAATTGGGATAAAATTGGCTTTTTTGTATCAATTTTATTTTAATTTAAAAAAAATTCAAACTCACTCTAAAAAATGGTGTGTATAATACATTTTCTATTAGTTTGGATGAAAAAAAAATTAATGGTAACACTCTAGAACAAAACCACATGGAATTATGACTATATTTGAACCATAGAGGGAGATAAAGTGCTCCAACCCCAAACCGTAAGGTGGTAAAATAAATTGAACCCTAAAAGAAACATACAAAATAATAAAAAAAAATACTTGAAAACAAAAAGTAGAGAAAATTGAAAAGAATATAAAGTATGAAGGGAGAATGGCAAGAAATACAAAGAGAGTGCCAATGTATTCAAGATAGAGTTTTACTAGTGATTTGTAAATATAAAATTTATCAGAATGATGTGTAAATGATATTTGTGAAATTACAAAGATAATAGTAAATATTTTGATTAAAAATGAAGGGGAATTGGTTGCTATGTGGGGGGCATAACAGCCATTATTATGCTGCATGTTTTAGGACCTATTTTGATGATTAGAACAGTTCATTTTTTAAGATATATTGAGTAGAACATATTTATAAAAACTCAAATTGATTGAATATCGATAGGACTTTCATCGAATTGCGTTTGTATCTAAAAGAAATAATGATAAATGTGATTTGAATTATAAAACTAAATACAAATGCACTTTGATGAAAGGGTTATCGATATTCAATTAATTTATTTTTTTATAAGTATGTTCTATTCAGTATACCTTAAAATATGAACGGTTTTGATCATCGAAATGAGTCCCGAAATAAACTCGACGAGCCATACACCAGTGGTTGTTGAGCAGGTACCCTTAGACCAAATAAAGGAATCACTAGATGCCACCTCATTTTGTATAGAATTTTTGTACAAACATTTTGTTTATATATCATTACTCTTTTTTTTTAAAAAAAAACATCAGATGGGAGTTCTTATTGAAAAATTTAAAATATTAGGTACCTTAATATTACAAGGGATATGATCGTAGTAACTGATTTGGTTCTTAAAATTTAATGTTCCAGTGTGGATGGCATTCCTTTGATTGGATTGGGAATGTGATTAGTCAAGGTATGCGTAAACTAGTCCAGACACCCTTTACCATTGAACCCAAAAAACTATTTAGGTGGGAAGATGTTGATGCAAATAGGAGTATGATCCAATCTTTAATAGGCAAAATCATATATAGCCACTATTTGTGATTTGAACTGTAACCAACCTCTATTCTTTAGAAGGTCGCAACTTAAAATTCAGTAGTATTATAAATTTAAATTTAATTATTTAAAAAGTATTTGGAATTATTATTTTATGGTTCAAATTTATTTTACATATAGACTCTGCTACATAAATTCAATCTTAACCACATATTTCCATTTGGGATAAATTAGGAATAGCAAAAGTGGAGTTCATAGACTTATTCCTTAAAATTAGGCCAAAATTCCATATTGTTTCTTTTTAAGGTCTTGAAAATAATTTATGGGTACAATTAGGGGTCAATGTAGCAAGTAGCTTTTAATAAAATTCTTAACTCTTATTGAGAAATACCACCCCCCCAAAAAAAATGCTAATTAATAACAAAATATGTGTTACTCATTGAGCACATAATTGAGTGTTAATTATGAAGTCACTCGATATTTGTATCTTGTCTAATTTTACTATTTGTGGGTGTTGATTTTGATCTCGCAACTAAACAGATCTCTTTGTCGAGATCTAGAAAAGTCAACTGGAGATCATACGGCAAAATAGATTAAGCCAAACACCTGTACATAAGAAAATAAGAAATACCACGGTGGCTCGTCTACCCGAGAGCACTTCGACGATTAAGTCAATAACTTATCTCACAAGATATCAACACAATTAAGCAACTCATAAGTAAAAGAATACCTTAGACCCATGGGGGTGTCTTACTTTTATAGTCAACAGTGCTCTCACCCTTAAAAGTATCACTTCATAGAACTCAAACATAACACTTATCTCGGACTCTTAGCCAGATAAGAATGATCCTACTTAAGAGCCTCATTTTTATCCAAACAAAGAGCCTCAACTTACCTAGGACTCTTGTCCTCTATTCGACAATCTCGAATTCTGATATTACCGTACCATATCTCGGTAATGCCATAACAACTTCAGTAACATGGCTCATCTACGTGCCACCTCAGATAATCACCTCGGCCATGTGGGTAGTCTAAAAATATGTCCCCACAACTGCCTCCTAAGTTTTATTACCTTAGTAAACTGAGGTGATGGAACTTACATTATTTGTCTTCTCAACATGTCGGCTAAACAACATGCTAGAGATACTTCTCTATTCGAGATCATGACTCGTTGGCATCAAGAAATAAGGACTCAAGGGTCCACTCATCAAGACCCAAGAACTAAGATGTTTTTTCTCATCCAAGATCAACATCTCAATCGAGATTGCACTACTAGTCAAGATCGTGATTCGCTAGTTCAAGAACATCAAGAATCCAAGATCCATAAGCTGTCATGTGATAACTACCTCAACCATTTCTCCCAAGTGTCATCACCATACTGGTCCATACTCATCACGAGACAGGCACGTCATTTCACATCTAAACCACGTCACCTGACGTTAGCTGACGTCAATCAGGAATGTTGCCCAAGGATTCCAAATAATGCCCTTTGATGCCTGTTCATTTTTTATCAAAACTCTTTTGATTCCCTCTCTCTCCGTCTTTTCACTTCTCCATTCATAACTCTCTCTCTTTACAATTTTTCCTAAACTGCCATTACCAAATGACCAAGCTTTCTGCAACTACTCCAGTTCACCATCTCCGGTAGCCAAACCACCATTCTGCTCTAATCAATAAAAGCGTCTCACTTTGGTGCGTACAATCTCAGTTTTCTTTCCCTTAATCTCAATCTGTAAGTTCTCCTATCTTTCATTTTCAATTTTAGTTCTTCAAAATCTCTTCATGTCCTTGAATATATATACTCCATGTGTTTTTGGTTTCCTTTAATGGCATGAACACCACACACACTACACTCGCACTCAAATCTACATCGTTTTTTGTTCAATTTGCCCTTATTCGCACATTTCATATTTGACTGTGCATTTTCATCCCTACTTTGGATGATACTCCGAACATGTTCTTGCCTTCATATGTTCTTGATTATACTCTGAATCTGACCTTTTGTCATTCATTGTCTCCAGATTGCTTCATCCGATTCCTGCACATTTCCATTGTTCTTGCACAGCCTAGATTTAGGATTGGGATTTGCTAGAACACTAGGAGAATTGAAATCCAAACCTTCTTTAGGATCTCCCGAACCCCAACAAAAAATATTCAAGCCAAACAGTACTTAGTAGTGCTACATTGGCCCCTAGGTTCATAAAACCCTAACATAAAACACTCTTTGAAGAAAATAGTGCCAAAACCACCTAGTGGAGATCATAGGTATGCACAAATAGAGGGTGGACTCCCCTAGCAAGCTAGAGTATTTCCGCTAGGAGTTTGACATCCCGGTCGATGTCCAGATTAGACTAGTCGATGAGAACGATTCCATCATACCTAGGGAAAATTACGTGCCCTTCCTCGTAGGAATCATTAAGGGTGGAATTGGATTCCCATCTAGCATTCTTTTTAGAGAAATGATGCACTACTGTCGTCGTAACCCTATAGCAATTAACACCTTTAGGATTATCAATGACAAAGCCGAGTTGTGTCACCAACATAATGCTAGGTTCACCCTATCCGATATCCAGTATTGCTATATAATGTGTAGCCTCAAATCTTCTAACGGTATCTCCTACTACCTTAAACTCTGGTCAACCGCCTATAAGTTGATAGTCGACCTTCCAGACTCCAACAAGGGTACTAGGGAAGACTATCTCATTATCTTAGGCAACTGGAAGTTTGCATCAGATAATGAACTATGCCTTTTTCCCTTGCGTAGAGGGATCTTTAGGGAAGATGAGGGTAAACACTTAGTTTTCCTAGATCACACACGTTCATAACCAACCTTCTCATACATAGTCGAATTCTCACATTTGCTCTCTTGTTTTTGTAGAGTTACCCTAGCCAAGCAAGTCCTTCCACAAGTCATACATCAAGTGGAATGACCTTGTCCAACTTTTGGACTTGCCAATCAAAGATCGCAAGGCCCTCATTCTGCTCAACTACATGTTGATGTACAGATCTCCTCTGTTCGACATTCCATCTAGAAGCAGAACTCCACCATCTGCAACAACAACACCAATAACATCTTCCCCATGCACAGATGAAGCCTCCACTTCTGATCTAATAAATCAGTTGTCCACCTCGACTCCATTGCAACATATCTCTCCAGTTCAACATCAACGTCATCGCCGACCTACCAACGCTCTAGCAGGAAGACCTATAGCAGAAACTACCGAGGTAGTGACTTGCCAGCTTACGACCCCGCTAACCCACCAATTGCTCTTTCTGCCTTCAAACTTGGCACCGGAGTTACCGTTGTCTCCTCCTCAAAAGAAAAAGGATGTAAACCAGCCATTGCCAAAGATCTCTTGGCTAGTCTTCTCGACATGGTGACCGTACAATCCACCAAATCCCCTCAATCTGTGCAGAAGCCAAAGAGGGTGACAAAGGCCAAGTCAGAGACCAAGTTAATAGTGACCTCTTCTACAGAGGAGAAAGACCTTGAGGACAACATGCCCATCTCAAAAATGGTTATTGAAAAAAGACTAGCATTTGATTCCTCCGAGGCCCCAAGTAGCAAGAAGCTGAAATCAGTCGATCCTGGGGGTGAGAAGGATGTTCTCCCCGAGGACACCTGGCTCCTTGAGACTTAAGTGGGTGACAGGCTTTTGAAAGTCAACGACAACGCAATAAAGGACCTCAAAGTTGTTGTTGCACTGACCACAGGTCTCCTACTACCCACCGACATTGACACCATCAGTGAATATAACGAATACAAGCACTTTGCTCTAATGATAAGGCATTTAGTTTTGGTAAGCCTCCTAACTCTCATCTTTAAATTCAATTTTCCATATTAAGTAAAATATAGCTAATTCATTCAACACATCCACTCTCATGTCATTAGGGCCGAGTTGATGAAAAAAGACTTGACAAAGAAGACACAAGAGTAAGGATGGCCATTTTAATCCGATCAATAGGGGTCCGCCCATACCCGTCCGAATACCCAACCCGACACTTATGTGGGGCAGGAGAGGATTATATTTTGGTCACCCACAATGGGGCTAGGGTTGAGGCTGGTATCACCTCCCTCGATCTAAACCCGACCTGATATAATTAAAAATACATAAATAAATAATATATATGAATATATATAATATAATTAGATATAAGAAAGGAATACTAAATGTTTGAGGTTTTGTTTAAATATAAATAAATAATAATCCTAAAAGTCTCACTATTTATATATATGGAAATAAGAGAAATTATTCAGTGTATTAAGGATTTAAATGATTCTCAATTTTTTTTTGGCTATTTGAAATGTGGTCAAGTATTTGCAGGTATCTGCAGAGTAGGGATGACATTGAAAAAGGTCACCCGTAGCAGGATTGGGGTGGGAACAGGGGATGGCAAACCCGTCCCATGGCTATCCCTACACAGGAGGCATCAGGTTTCCTCTCTCAACTCAACAAGGTCGAGGCTAAAATCAAAAATCAACTAGACAAGATGAATGTAGCTAGGGTTGGTGAGCACAAGGTTGAGGTCGCTGCTAAAGCTGTCGAGGAGAAGGCTATAGAGGTCGAAAAGAAGTTAGCTGAAGCCTTGGCCATAGAGGAACAAGAGATCAAGGCCGCTGATGAAAAGGCCTACGAGGAAGGCAAGGCCGACATCCAAGACCAATACAAGAAGCAAATCAACCTGGCCTACAACAAAGGATACTATCTCATTTGGGTTGCTGCTTTAAAGAAGTTGTCAGTCCCCGACAACTCACCTCTTCGGGATCTCGACCAACTTGACGTGTCTTTCCCTCATTCTCCCATCCAATTAAAAGAGGAAGTGGAAGAAGAAGAAGAGAATGAGAAAGAAGAAGAAGAGAACAAGGGAGAAGACAAAGAAGAGGCTGTTGGGGCTAAATCCCCTGCTCTGAACAATCAAGTTCTAGATCTAACTGAGGATAACGACGATGAGGTTTCCAAAACCAGTTCTTCCACCAAAAAGGGTGACTCCTCTACAACCGACAAGATCATTGAGGAAACCTTGAAGGAGATTGACGAGGAGATAACAGTTGAGATTGAGGCCGAGAAGACTGCCACGCATTCTGATGTTCTAGCCCGCGATCCAAAATCCAACACTTAGGATTGTTTTCTTTCCAATTGTATTTTTCCTTTTTTTGTACTTTAACTTTAAACAGTCTTCTGTTTTTGCAACGCTGAAGTGCCTTTAGATGTACTTGAACCATTTTGTGAATGCATGTTTATGCTTTTGACTTACTGTATGCCTTGTTTACTTTCAATGTTGTTAACACTTTGTTTCTCAGAAATTTTTCTAAGTATGACATCCTTTATTCAATATCTCGGTATGAATAACAAAATTTTGAAAATTTCACCAAATGTTACTCTTTTCAAATCACAAACCAAAGTGCAACTCATCTCGACTCCATAGCCCCTAATATGAATGTAAGCTATGACTTAGGTTCACATTAAGGGCACAAGATCTGAATCTTGCCTAAGTCTGACTTAGGCATCTATGACCAGAGTCATCGTGTTTAGCTCATTTAAACAAAACACTTAAGGCTTAACTTTTGTGCACCGACAGTACTAACTACCTTGACTTTTCATACAAACTAGCCAAACCATGGTTGGCTTTGGTTTGTTTCTCATTAAAACATCCCTTTAACTAAGTTTAGCTCTGACAACCTAAGAAGACTAAGTTGACAACCTAAGAAGACTAAGTTAAACGTCTTGTTCCTCTTTGGAATATCACATCGGCCTAACACTTTATGTCTTATCTAACAATAGCTAATTAACAGCATTTTGCAAAGAACAACATCGCACTAGTATTTTATTAATCAATACTTCAGCTAAACATCTTCTAAGTTACATCAAAAAGAAAAATAAAGGAATCTAATGATAGAAAAACTTCAAATTGCTAGTGTTCCATGGTCTTGGCAACTCCTTGCCATCGCAGTCTCCTAGTCGATAAGCCTCATTGCCAGCAACCGAGATATTTCTGTATGGTTCTTCCCAGTTTGGGCCAAGTTTACCTTTTCTAGAATCTTTCTTGTTATCAAGACTTTCCTCAAGATGAGATCCCCAACTTAGAATTCTTTGAGATTTACTTTCTTATTGTACGCTTTAGCTAATTTCTGCTGATGTGTCCCTAGTTGAATTGCTGCTTGCTCCCTTCTTTCTTCAATCAAATCCAAATCTTGAGCTAAAAAGGTCTCATTTGTCCCATTTTCTACTACTTGAGTCCTGACTCCAGGAATGTTGATCTTTAATGGTATAATGGCTACAGTACCATAAGCCATGGAAAAAAGCGATTCTCCGGTTGATCTTCTCGATGTGGTACCGTATGCCTATAGAACATTAGGCAATTCCTTAACTCACCTGCCCTTGGCACCTTCTAACCACTTCTTTATACCATCCATGATGGTTTTGTTCAATGCCTTGGCTTAACCATTGCTTTGAGGGAAGTTAGGCATTGAATAGTAGTTGTTGATCTTGTACTTAGCGCAGAACTTCTTTATAATTTTGCTATCAAACTAGGTGCTATTATCTGCCACAATGGCTCTTGGGATCCTGAATCTGGTGATAATGTTCTTCCTGATGAAATTTCTTACATCCACATCTCGAATTTTGGCTAAAGGCTTTGCCTCCACCCATTTTGTGAAGTAATCCATAGCTACTAACAAGTATTTCCTCTGTCCAATTGCCTTGGGCAATTGCTCGATCAGATCCATGCTCCACTGGGCAAATGGCTAAGGGCTAGATACCGGATTCAAGTCTCCAGCTGGTTGGTGTATTAAAAGCGCAAACCTTTGACAGTTCTTGCATTTTCTAACATAGGCTTTGTGTCCTTCTACATGTAAGGCCACTAATATCCTTGTGATATGGCTCTATGGGCAAGAGATCTGCCCCCTGCATGGCTTCCACAGACTTTTTCATGAATCTCAAATAAAAAGTCTTTAACCTGAGAAGGATGCACACATCGCAACAGTACTTCTGCGAAGGACCTTCTGTAAAGTTGATTTCTGCCGACAAACAGAACCTTACCGACCTGAGTTTGATCTTGTGTGTCTCATTCTTGTCTTCTGGTAACATATCATCTTTAATAAGTTTGACCAAGTAATCCATCTTGCTTGGGCCTAACTCTATGCACATTGCCTCATACTTTGTTATTAGGGGCTCAATGCTTGGGCTCAATAAGTAGTCTACCATGATGGTTCTCGGGGAGTCTGACTTTATGGCTAAGGCTAGGTTTGCCAATGCATCCATATGATTGTTGTCTTCTCGACAGACCTGTTGAAGCTGATAACTCTTAAACTGTGCTAACAATTTGATGACCTCTTTGACATAGGCCACCATTCTCTTATCTCAGGCGATGTACTTACCCGTCGCTTGATTCACAATGAGTTGGGAATCACAATAGACTACCACCTTATCGACTTCAACTGCTGTAGCTAACTTCAATCTGGCAATCAGTGCCTCGTATTCTGCTTCGTTGTTTGAAGCCTTAAACCTCAATCTGATTGATTGTTCCAGCATCTACCCATCTTGTGAAATCAATACAATTAGTGTCCCTGCTTTCTACAGATTTGAGCTACCGTCGGCAAAGAGACAAAAGGACTTACCGATGTAAATATTACAGGGTCTATTCTTCTTAACCTTTCTCTTTTAGGCTTCTTTGTCTTCTGTTGGCTTAGGATTCTATACTGCCAACTATGTTTTTTCTGGTTCCTCTACGTATCCCAGGCCAAGGTTCACAGGTTTAGGCCTCGGGCTTGCATTTGGTGTGAACTCTGCGACAAAGTCGGCTAGTACCTGGCCTTTGATTGTTGTCCTTGGTCTATATTCTATGTCGTACTGACCTAGAACAACATCCTATCATGCTATCCTTTCGAACAAATCTTTATGTTACAACAGAGACTTCAATGGGTGCTCTCTCTGTGAGCACCACGATCTTGTGAGCTTGAAAGTAGTGGTTTAATTTCTTTGAAGCCATCACCAGAGCGAGCGTCAAATTTTCAAGAGGTCGGTACCTGGTCTCCGCACTTGCCAAGGTCTTGCTTACATAATATTCTACCTTGTGCTCTCCTTTTTCTTCTCAGATGACTACCACACTGACCTCGTGGTCTAAGACTGCTAGATACAGGAATAACTCCTCTTTTGGAACTGGAGTTGACAACTAGGGTAAGGAAGTTAAGTATCTTTTCAAGTCAGCTAGGGCGACTTCACAAACTTCTGTGCACAAAAAACTGTGGCCTTCTTCAATAGATGAAAAAATAGCCTGCACTTATTTGAACTCCAACTTATGAATCTCTTCAATGCCACTGCTTTGCCGGTCAAAATTTGGACCTCTTTTGCCGTTGTTGGGCTCTTTATATCAATGATGGCCTTGATCTAATCAGGGCTTGCTTCAATCCCCCTTTTAGTTACTAGATATCCCAAAAACTTATCGGATCCTACCCCGAAAGCACACTTGGAGGCATTCAACCGAAGATGATATGACTTCAAGATGTTAAACTCCTTCTTGAGGTCGGCTAGATGATCAGAAGGTTCTTTGCTTTTCACGACCATGTCGTCGATGTAGATTTCCACAGTCTTTCCAATCAGATGGTTGAACATCTTGGTTACAAATCTCTAGTATGTTGCTCCTACATTTTTCAATCCAAAGGGCATGACTCTATAGTAGTAGAGTCCCTTTGGAGTGATGAATGTCGTCTTCTCTTAGTCTAGTGTGAACATGGCTATCTAGTGATAACCTCAGTATGCATCAAGGAAGCTTATCATCTCATCTCCCAAAGTGGTGTCTACTAGTTGGTCTATATTGGGTAAAAGGAAGCAATCCTTTGAGCAAGCCTTGTTCAGGCTTATGAAATCTATGCAAACCCTTCATTTCTCATTCTTCCTTCTGACCACCACTGTGTTGGACAACCAGGTCGGGTTGCCACGACCTTATCCCGCCCCAAATAGGATAGTAGCTATGACCGGCCAATAGTGTCTGGCTACCAAAAGCCTAATAAGACAAGACAAGACTGAACTATAACCTTGGGGCTTATCCGGAACAAGCTATTCATTATATTAATCCAAAATCCATTCCAAGCATGTGCATAAGTATGATGAAAACAAAACAAGCATACTTCTTATTTATTTGCCTTGATATTTACATGTTCAAGTAACAAAAGAAAAAAGTGCAACATTACAAAACTATTGACATATAGACAAAACTCAAGTTCCAAGGTTACAACTTCTCAAAAGAAACAAAAAAAGAAAAAGAAAAAAAAAAGGTTCTAGTGCAACTCTTCCTTGTGTCCTTGATCTTCTTCTTCACCTATATACATATAAAAGAGGGGGGGTGTGCCATTGCCTAGTGAATAGTAATAAAGTAAGGTGGTAAATGAATGAACATAAGCTTTAAACGTTCTTTCAAAATACCATATAAGTTTAAACAAGGTAAAAAAGTAGCTTTGCTTGCGAACAAAATACATAATAATGAGCATTTCAAGGATTACAAGGTGCTTAACTAGCCCAGGTACTGGCTAAACGTAACAAGATGAGCTCGGCCATAACACATGATTGAATATTCCCCCAATTGTGGGACATGATCCAAGAATGCCATCTAAATACAAGATAAAAGAGTATAAATGTTCATTCATAACAAAATATATCAACGCTTGTAAACATAATTAAATTTTGCATTAAAAGCATAATTTGATAAACATAGTATTACTAAATTACTACTCACAAATAGCTCGGTTTGACAAGGTGTTCATTCTTTCCGAAGCTTGACCTATACAAAACAATAGCATACATTGAAACACTTGTCTACTCAAATAAGCTTAACATGTCGAATGCTTAACTTTGTTTAATGTTTTTTAAATTTCTTTCATCTCTTCATTGTTTTCCTAAGCTTACTTTAATATTTCTTAATTATTTTCTTAGCAAGAAATGAAAGGAAACTAAGTTAGGAAAGGAATTAGCATGAAACGGTTAGAAATAAAGTGAGTAGCCACCATTGGAAACTAGACTTCTGGGGCTTGAATTTAGACTCAAGAATCACCTAAAATCGAGTCTAGATCAGAGATATACTCATTTGAAGTTACAAGGTATAAGCTAAAATAAGGCTGGCCACAC